GCAACCTACCCTGCACTGACCTAGCTCGCTTCTCAGCCTGATAGGGGGACCTCGCAAGAGACCCATGGTGCCCTTCCCTCCGGGGTAAGCAACAGCATCCAAAGTGCAGTGAAACAGTTAAGAAGCAGAAAGCAAGTGAAATCTAGCCCAGAAGATAAGTGAAAGGACTAGAAAGATAGCGAAATCTGATTTACACTGATACTATACCTGTCTCCTCCTCCACCTCTCCAGGATTCCTGAAAAGATCATCCAGAAAGAAGGCAGTAAGACCCCTCCCCAAATCCCAAAAGGTGTCTTTTGTTTACATGACACTCGGCCTTTCACCGTCACACCCCCCCCCCCCGCCGCCTGGCTCTGAAATGGCAGAGGGGGACCAGGTGAGGCGGCCAAACTTCCATAGCATATGGCAGTCCAGCTCTGGAGGGGAGTGGAAGGGAAGAGGCAGGCGGGCAGCTGGGTCATTGAATGGGTGGGGGAGGTTGCCGAGCAGGGAGTGGCCTGGGTGTGGGGGCCCTGAGGTAAGTGGGTATGGGGCACGTGGGGTGGGTCCACCACCCCACCTGCCTCACCTCACCTCATAGTGGCGGTTTGATGTGCACTCTCCTGCCCCATTGTGACCGTGAGCCACCAGATGTTGGGATGGAGTGGGCGGGTGGCTGCAATATCAGAATCCCCCCAAATAAGCCCTAATGGGTCTTTTGGTCAAATATATATATATATAAGACCCGGTCTTATTTTTGGGGAAACATGGTAGTACATGAAGACAGAGATGATATAGTTGCCACTACTGAAACTTGATGGGATGAAACTCATGACTGGAATGCACTGATGGAAGGACATAAACTATTGAAAAGAAATGGACCTAACAAAAGAGGGAGGTGGAGTTGCATTATACATAAAAGATCACTACATCTCTACAGAAATACACAAAACCAAAGATAAAAGCCTCCTAGAATCCATATGGGTCAATATAAGAGGAAAAAAGAATGACATTGCTATAGATGTATACTACAGGCCACTGTAGCAAGCAGAAGAAATAGATGAACTCTTTGCTAATCACTTAAAACAAATGTATGTAGGAAAGATACCACAGTAGTAAGGGGAAACTTTAACTATCCTGACATCAATTGGGAGATAAAGTCTGCAGCAAGTAGGAGATTGAACAGATTCCTAACCAACCTAGCCGACATCTTTGTCACCCAAAACATAGAGGAGGGAACTAGAGGAAAAGCTGTACTGGGCCCAATACTTACTAATAGAGAAGAAGTGATAGAGGGAGTTGAAGTTGCCAGAACCTTGGGTGAGAGTAACCATGTCATTCTGGAATTCAATATAATGCAAACACAAGCAATAGAACATAATCCGGCCAGTATCCTAAACTTTAAAAGATTTTAACAAACTCAGAGCATTTGGAAAAGATTCCATGGATGAAAATCCTAAAGGAGAAAACAACTTAAGTGTGGGAAACAATGAAAAATACAACCATAAAAGTCCAGTCCAGCACAATACCATTGAAAAAGAAAAACAAGGAATCCAAGAAGAACTGAGCATGGTTGCACAAAGATTTCTATGATAAACTGAAAGACAAAAAGGACAAATACAAAAAATGGAAAGAGGGACACATAACTAAGGCAGAATATCAGCAGATAGCCCAAAAATGCAAAGATGAAGTCAGGAAATCAAAGGCTCTGAATGAACAAAGACTTGCAACAAAGATAATAGAAAAAGTTTCTTTCAACATATAAATAACGAGAAAAAAGGCAAGGAAATAGAAGAGAGAAGATGGCAAGGAAGTAACAGGCAGTAGAGAGAAAGCAGAACTGCTTAACTCATTCTTTGCATCAGTCTTCACGCAAAAAGAAACTATAGCCCAACATACCCCCAAAAAAATACTGCAAAAGACAAATTAGAAATAAAAATGAAAATAAGCAAGAAAATAGTAGAGAACACCTGTCTGATTTTGACGAATATAAATCTCTGGGACCTGATGGATTACATCCCAGGGTTCTGAAGGAGTTGGCAGATGTTATCTCAGAACCATTGTACCATATCTTTAAAAAATCCTGGAACACCAGGGAATTACCTTGAGGATTGGAAAAGAGCTGATGTGGTTCCCATTTTCAAAAATGGGGGAAAAAACAGACCCTGGAAACTACAGAGTAATCAGCCTAACATCTACCTGGAAGATACTGGAAAAGATAATCAAAAAACAGATCTGCGAACATCTAGAAACAAATAAAGTTATAACTAGAAGCCAGCATGGGTTTCTTAAAAACAGATCATGTCAAAACAATCTTATTTCATTCTTTGATAAAATGACTACATTGGTAGACCAGCAAAATGCTATGGACATAGTATACTTAGATTTCAGTAAAGCATTTGACAAAGTAGACCACAACCTACTCCTTGGTAAGCTAGAAAAATGTGGGATAGACAGCATCACCACCAGATGGATTTGTAAAATGGCTGACAAACTGCACCCAATGAGTAGTTCTTAATGGTACTATATCCACATGGAAGAAAGCAGTGGGGTACCATAAGGTTCCATCTTACTCTCCAATATCTTCATAAGTGACTTAAATGAGGAAATAGAAGGGGAACTCATCAAATTTGCAGATGACACTAAACTGGAAGGAATAGCCAACACCCCAGAAGACAAGCTCAGGATCCAAAAAGATCTTGACAGACCTGAACAATGGGCCCTATCCAACAAAATGAAATTTAATGGGAAGAAAAACAAGGCTCTACACTTAGGCAGGAAAACCAAATCTACAAGTACAGATTAGGTGAAAACTGGCTCAAAAACAGTAACTGTGAGAGGGACCTTGGAGCCCTAGTGGATGATCACTTAAACATGAGCTAGTGATGTGCGGCAGCAGCCATAAAAGCTAATATATTCCTTGGTTGTATAAAAGAGGCATAGAATAAAAATCACGTGAAGTATTAGTACTTTATAAAACCTTAGTAAGACCACATCTAGAATACTGCATCCAGTTTTGGTCACCACCTGACAAAAAAGATGTTGAGACTTTGAAAAAGTGCAGAAAGGAATAACTAAGATGATTAAGGGCCTGGAGACTAAGACATATGAAGAATGATTGCAGGATTTAGGTATGGCCAGTCTAGAGAAAAGAGGGAGACATTATGGTACTGTAGTATTGCAGTATTTGAGGGGCTGCCATGAAAGAAGAGGAGGTCAACTCATTTTCCAGAACACAAGAAGGCTGGACAAGAAATAATGGGTGGAAACTCATCAAGGAGAGAAGCAACCTAGAACTTCCTAACAGAGAGAACAATCAACCAGAGGGAAAAGAAGTCGCCTTCAGAGCTTGTGGTTGCTCCATCACTGGAGCTTGTTAAGAAGAGGCTGGGTGGTATAGGAGGTTCTCCTGCTTGAGCAGGGGGTTGGACTAGAAGACTGAGAGAGGGGAAAGGAGGAACCCCCCCCCCAAATCTTTAGCCCCTTTGTTGGGGGAGGGGTGGCTTGGAGCCCAGGCAACAGAGAACTGCAATGTCGTCCCGGGGATGGCCCAGCCCCCATGGGGTAGGCAGCCCCCTGTGCCCCGCTCTCCTGGCCAGGGTCTGAATGGGCTTTCCACAGCGGGGCCGGGGGAACTACTCCTGCTAAGTGCGCTTTTTCCCAGTCGGGCGATGGGCGGCCTCGGGGACGAAGGGCCCCGGCGGCGGCGGCGGCGCGCGGAGGGGGGGGGATGTCCCCGGAGGGCTCAGCCGTCTTTCCCACCCTGTCCCGCTTCTCTGGCCTTCCCTCCCGGCGGGCTTCTCCGACCTGCCTTCTGGCCGCCGGAACCGGGGCAGGCGGAGGCTGAGCCGAGAGCGGGAGCTCGCCCCTCCCCGCCTGCAGGGCCACCGGGACCGCCGCCGGCCAGCGCGCCCAGCCCCGCCTGCGCGGAGAGGGCGCGCTGGTTGCCGGGCGACGAGCAGAGGCGCGCGCGCGAGCCTGGCCGGCAGGGAGGCTTCCCGGGTGGGTGTTCCCCGAGCGGAGCCCCCGCGCTTTTGAGCCGCGGATCGGAGGCCGCCGCCGCGTCGGGCGGAGGGTCTCGCCCGTGGGAGAGCGCCAGGGCGGCCAGCCAGCTGGGCATGCCCGGGGAGCCTTCCGCGGCTCCCCCCCCAACGAACGGCCGGACGGAGCGAGGCGCCCCGGGGAAGCGGCCCGCTGCCTTGCGGAGGGGGGGGGGCGCCGCCGGCCTCTGGTTGTGGCAGGGGAGGGGGCTTGCCAGGTTGGGGCGGGCGATCAGCTAAGCCGCCCACTTCGCTCTGCTGGAGTCCAGCCAGGCCTTGGCAGGTGCCTGTGCCGCTCCGAGCGTCGGAGTCCAAAAGGGCAGAGCCGGGGCAGAGCAGGGCCGGGATCAGGGGGAGGTCCTGGAGGATCCGGCCGGAGGAGCAGGCGCCGAAGGCTGCACCACCCCCGTCCTCCTTTCCCTCCGCTCTGTGGGGAGGATGGCCGGGGAGAGAGGCCGACCAAAGTCCGCTGCTTTGAACTCCCAGGGCAGAAGGATCGCAGCGCCTAACTCCGCCCCCCCCGATGGCTCCGCCCATTTGTCACCCACAACCGTTTCATCCCGGAACTCAGTGAAAGAATAGAATAGAATAGAATAGAATAGAATAAAGCTGGAAGGGACCTTTGAGGTCTTCTAGTCCAGCCCCCCAGCCCCGCTTAAGCAGGAGAACCTATACCATCTCAGACAAGTGACTGTCTAGCCTCTTCTTAAAAATCTCCAGTGATGGAGCGCCCACAGCTTCTGGAGGCCAGCTGTTCCACTGGTTGATTGTCCTCACTGTCAGGAACTTTCTCCTCAATTCCAGGTTGCTTCTCTCTTTGGTCAGTTTCCAACCATTGTTTCTTGTCCTGCCCTCTGGTGCATTGGTGAATAACATGACCATCTACCTCAGAATGCGTGGTGGCAATGGCTTTCTCAATTGGGCATCTCCTCACCATGCCCCCTCCCCACTTTTATTATCCCCCCCCCCAGTTTAGGAGCATGACTTCCAAGAAAGCCGCCGGGAGGAGCCTGGTGAAAAAGGGAGCCAAGCCGACGCTTCCAGCCAAGCCGTCCGGAGCAGCCCCTGGGAAGCCAGGTAGCAGAGGGGCAGGGCGTGGGGAGGGGGTGCTCTGGGCAGGCTCCCCAAAGAAGGGGCAGCCAGAAGGCCCGCAAGGGGTGACCAAGAGCTGTAGAAGGGGCTGAGGGGAAAGTAGAAGGGGGTAGGGGTAAGAAAGCGTGACTTTCGCCCAGGCGTTGGTAGCAGAATCTTGGGGGGGGGAGGGGGAGTCAGTTGCCCCTGTGCTCATTTGGGGTGAAGGCAGGAGCAGCCCAGCGGCTCCAGTGAGGTTGAGAGATTCTGTGCTGGGGGAACTGGCGGGCGGCAGTTGAACGGGCATCTTAGTTGGGGAGGGCACTTGACCCCTGAGAGAGGGTCTCGGTGCCTGGGCTTCGAGCTGGATTAGCCGAGGGTATCTGGGCTTTGAAAAGGAGTTCGGCAACAAGGCCGCTCTCCTTCATCCAGCCCGGAGGCCGGCTCCAAGCCGGGAGCCACAGCACAGCGCGTGATCCCGGGACACTGCGACCGTCATAAATACGCTTCAGTTGCCAAGCGTCTGAATTTTGATCACGTGACCACGGGGGGGGGGAATGCTGCTGGAGCCATAATGTGAAAAACAGTCATGAATCACTTTGTTCAGCGCCATTGTAACTCCGAACAGTCACTAACTGAATCGTCGTAAGTGAAGGTCTACCTGCTCTTGCTGGCCACCTCCCGACCAGACCAAACTCTTGTCCTTCCATCGTGAAAGAAACTATTTTGCTATTTTTGTTATTTGTGTGGTTTTATTTTATTTATGTTATTTATTTAATTTTTGTTAGCAGCCTAAAGTTCCATTTAGCAACCGGGTAACCACTGAAGTTAAACAAAAAAACAAACAAATACAAATGGGAAGTGGTACTTGCCCTCCTCTTCCTCTTTTCCTTGAAATTTCCTTCCAGGAATCGCCGGCCCAGTCGCCGGGCATATCCTTTCTTTCACCAGACTTTGTATTGTTGTGATTCTTAAAATGTGGCCATGCAAAGCAAGGAAGAAAGGGGGGTTTTGGGAGGTGCGAGAGACGGGAGAAGCCTTCCACAGAGGCCAAGCTATGAGGCGCCCGGGGACTTTGCGGGGGCTTCCGTCCCCCTGGACTGAGCCTTGGCAGCCGGCCTCGCTCAGCTCTTCAGGTCACCCTAGTCTAGAAAATGGGGACTTCTGAGGATTGTGGGTGGCGTCTGGTTTACATTTGAACTTTCTCCCTGTGACCTTTTCAGGCCCCCAAACAGACGGGGAAGAGGCAGCCCCAGCAGATGACCCTTCCCACCGCCAGGAGTCTCCCAGCAGCCATCCCACGGGTAGGTAGGTAGGTAGGTGGGCACGGGGTCTTGCCCTGGCACTTGCCCTGCCTTTAAATGGGAATGGAAATGGCCGAGCTCCTGCCAAATAAAAAAAATCTCACAGTAACTCACGTCCTTGTAAACTCCAGACTAGACTACTGTAACGCACTCTACATGGGGACCCCAGAAGGCAGCCACGCAGGCAGTCACCGGTGCCAGATGCACGGCACACGTAACACCACTCCTGCGTGGGCTGCAGTGGTTACTGGTGTGTTTCTGGGTGTAATTCAAGGTGCTGGTGGCTTCCTATAAAGCCCTGCATGGCTTGGGTACCTCAGGGGTACCCGAGGGATCACCTTCCCCCCCCCAAAAAATCTCTGCCTGTCCAACCTGGTCAAACAGAATGGATCTGCTGCAGATCCCGTCAGTCAAAGAACATCGGCTGGCAGGGACCAGAAGGGGCGCTTTTTCTGCAGTGGCCCCTACTCTGTGGAACAACATCTTCCCTTCGGACACCAGAATATATCACCGGCCTGCAGGAGCTGCACTGGCTGCTGATTTTTTTCCAGATGCAATTCAAAGTGCTGGTTGTCGCCTTTAAAACCCTACATGGCTTGCAAGTAGGTTAGCTGAAGGACCAGCCCTTCCCAGTTCCATCCCCAGGCCCAACCCACCAGAACAGGGAGGCAGGGAGTGTGGCCGGTCCCCCCTCCTGAGGACCCAGAAGAAGGATCTTCTCCTTGGTGGCTCCCCCACTTTGGAATATCTTCCCCGTGGAGAGTAGACTGGCCCCCACTTTGACATTTTCTCACAAGGGCTGGTTCTGCCAATGGGCCTGGGGAACCCCAAGTGGTGGGATGGAGCCCCTCAATTGGCTTGTTTGATTGCATGTTGTCACCAGGAGTGTGTGTGGGGGTTAGTGTTTACTTTTTTTATATGGGGTATTTTGTTGTTTGTAAGCTGCCTAGAGTCACTGATTCTAGACCCATATAAATTAAATAAATAAATAAAATGTTTTAAAAATAATGTTCTGAACTGTGAGCCGCTATGTAAATTTTGGGCAGCTATATAAATCAAATCAAATCACTCAATCAATCCATCAATCAACCAACCAATTAAAGTATCCCTGAAACTTTGCTGAATGCCAGAGAAGTAGAGGGTGGCCACAGTGACCCCAATTTTAAAAAGGAAGTCCGAAAATAGAGGGTGGCCGGCTCCAGAGAAGCTAGTGAGGATGGATGTAGAAGAGCATATCTGGCCCCGGAGAAGGAAGGGGGAAGGGCTGCCTTGGTCTTGTCTTAAGAGCCTTTAGGGTGAGAGGTGGTCAAGAGAGACCACAGAGTTTTTGTTCCTCTCCCCAAAGGCTAGAAACAAGCGTTATCCAATGAAGAAGAAGAAGAAGACCCTTCTTCATGCAGCGTAGAATGGATCTGTGGAAGTCTTTCCCACAAGAGAGACCCACTGAAGGCCACTAGTGGAGATGGCTTGAGGTTGAACTAAGGTCTGGAGGACAAGTCTATCAAGGCCCATCGTCAATGCCTATCAATGCCTATCAAGGCCATGATGTTTGAAGGAACCGTGGGGTTGGAGGAGGGTCTTCTGGTCCAACCCACCCTCTGGGGCACCTGAGGGATCCCCTTTCCCCAAGAGTCTCTACCCGTCCATCTAGATTGAGCTGAGTGGGCATGCTGCAGATCCCGTCAGCCAAAGAGTGACAGCTGGTGGGAACCAGAAGATGAGCACTTTCAGAGTGGCCCCTGTTCTGTGGAACGTCCACCATTTGGAGATCGATCAAAATGGCCCCAACCCGCTTAGCCTTTCACAAGGCCCTAAAAACCTGGGTGTTTTCCCGAGCCGGGGGGGGCAGCTGAACGTAGCCCCAGGACCTCAGCATCTTTTTTTTATTGCAGCAACCAGGACTGGATGCAGCATTCCAGTTGTGGCCTCACTGCTGCAGTATAAAGCGGCATTATTATTTCTCATAATCTTGATGCTGTCCCTTTGTTGATGCAGCCCAGGACTGCCTTGGCCTTTTTGGCAGCTGCAGCACACAGCTGGCTCATCCTCCAGAACACCTAGATCCCTCCCATAGACAGACGTGCTCGGGAATGCTGTGTCCAGTTCTGGACACCACAGTACAAGAAGGCTACTGGGGAACTGAAAGAGTGCAGAGGAGAGGCCCTGAACATGGCAATGTTTCTGAAAATCACTGGCTGGAAAAGAGGGTTTAAAAAAAGAAAAGACATCTAAAAGGCCAGCATTGATGCCCTTTACCTGGCGCAGAGCAATACAGAGAGCAATACAGAGGCCACATGTTATGTCCCAGCTGGCAGAATCCATCCAGATGACCCTGGATCCAGTTGGCCAAGGCCCAAGCCATCCCCTTGCCAGGCTGTATTTGAGACGAGGGAGGACCCACAAGCCAGCATCAGCTAAGACCGCATGGACGTGGATCTCTGAACGCCATAAATGGGGGGCTTGACTTTGGGCAACTTAAAGAGAGCTTTTTCAGGAGCCCCTAAATCCCCCAGTGAAGACCCTCTGAAACTTTCGAGGGCCCAGTTCAGCCTCTGCTGGGCTCTTTGGAACTTAAGCTGGCTGACGCTGGTTTTTCCCTGAAGTCAGTCCCCCCTCCCCAGTCTTTTGTAGCAGAGAGGAGGATCAGCGGGGCCCTGGGAATCTCACTTAATGCCCTGGGCCTCTCCTTTCTGTCCCCAGGCCTGAGTCACGAGGCAGAAGCCGCGCTCACGTTGCAGTGTGCCTTCCGTCGGATCCTGGCCTGCCGGGAGAGAAAGCGAAGACTGAAGCAGCAACGGGAGTATGAAGAATTAATGGATCGCCTCCAAAAGGAGGTGAGGGGCAGGAGGGCCCTGGCAAAGCAGGGGAGCCCGTTCTGTGCAAATGCTGGCAGGCAGATGGCTGAACCCCAGTCACCCTTGTGGGCTAGGATGGCTAATTGTATTGAATCCTGGGTTCTGTCCAACGAGATGCAATTCAGTGGTGAGAAAAGTAAAGTTTTACACTAAGGCAAGAAAAACCAAATGCACAGATATAGAATGGGCGGCACTTGGCTCAGCAGGCGCAACTGTTAAGAGGGATCTAGGCATCCCAGTAGATCACCGTTTAAGTGTGAGCCAGTGGTGTACTGCAGCTGCCCCAAAAAACTTCAATGTGGTCCTAGGCTGCATCAACAGAAGGATAGCATCGAAATCACGAAAAGGGATAGCACTGCTTTATGCCGCATTGGTGAGACCAGACTTGGAATCTTGCATCCAGTTCTGGCTGCCATGATACAAAAAAGATGCTGAGACTCTGGAAAGAGGGCAGGGAAGAGCAACAAAGAGGACTGAGGGGCTGGAGGCGAAACCGTAGGATGAAGGGTTGCAGGAGCTGGGTGTGTCCAGTCAACAAAGAGAAGAGCGCTCCCTCTTCCCGTCTGGGCCTGGCTGGCAGCCCCGGATCCTGGCTCCGAAGGGACCACCAGGAGTCTCTCTTTGCCGGGCTGTCTATGTTGCAGGCTTTTGTCGCTCTAGTGAAGAGAGAGCAGGAGGAAGCTGAGCGGGCGCGAAAGAAAGAAGAGGAAGAAAAGAAGCAGCAAAGAGAGGAGCAGCAGCGGAGAAAACGGATGCTGGAGGCAGCTTTTGAAGGAGATGTGGAGGAGATGAAGGCCGTTCTGAAAGAGGTAAAAATGAGCTTGCGGTTCCTCTTTCCGGCTCTGCACCCCAACAGGCACCAGGTTGGAAGGGGAGATGCCCCTTGCCTGTTTTTGTTGCATTTTCAAGCTGTGTGGCCTTGGAATATGTCCCAGGGGCCTCTGAGAGACGTTCTGAAGTACCCAATGGGCCTTTTTCACAACGCAAAAGGGGCATTCAAATGTTATTCTGTTACTACAAGGCAGAACCCTGGATTCATGTGTGTGTGTGGGGGGGTGCTTTCCTCAGCCAGAGCCACAGGGCATAAACTGGAATGATGCTTGGCCTGGCCAGAGAGAGGGCTGGAGGGAGGAGGGAATCTATCTTCTGCCTTCTCCCCAAATCGCTCAACCAGAGATTGAAGCATCTTCAATATCTTACTAATTGCACATTATAAAATTCCAGACTTAACCATATATTCTAGCGTAGAAGACCTATTCTGGTTTACGTGGAACTCCTGACAAAGCCTAGTTATAGTTTTATGGAATCGCAGGATGGTTAGGTCCCATGTCAGTCTCTGTCAGCCAAATGAGGTCGTTAACTTGGATATTTGGAATCTGAACACTGTTTTGAATATTAAGAAAAAGCTTGCCTCGTCTTCTGAGCCTCATCCCTCCTAGGTGGAGCTTCCTTCGTAAGACAGCTGTCACCCGGCCACTGTGGGAGGGGGCTGGCTTGCCCTGCTGGCCTGGAGCGTCAGGGAGCCCTGGGCATCCTTGGGGAGGGAGGTGGGGAGGGAGCCTTCCCAACGCAACAGCTTTGGACCCGTTTCATGACGGGGCATTTCCATAAACACTAGCGAGAAGATTAGAAGGGGGTGGGTGGGAGATGGGGAGCAGCACACATCAACCAGGCCCCAGACTCGCCTCGCCTTCTCTTACCTCATGCAGAGTGGTCAGTCCTCTCTTCTTGGACAAACCACCCACTCGCTCTTTCAAGGTGGCGGATCTGGACACCAAGAACAGTGTGGGAATAGATGAGAAGGGGAAGGTTGTCCGGCTCCAGCATCTCCTCAACATGGTGGACTGCACGGACGCCAACGGCAACACCCCCCTCTCCGAGGCCTCTGGAGGGGGCCATCCCGAAGCCATCCGGATGCTGATAGAAAACGGAGGCAATCCCAACAGCAGGGTGAGAAGACGGTGAGGGAGGTATGCCCGGGGTGGTGTGGGTGCAGCCCCCCTGGGGGTCAAGCCTCCGTCTCCACTGGTGCTCTGTGGCCTCAGTGCCAGAGAGGGCCCTCGGCTGTGGGGGTGGGGTGGGAGGGGAGGCTGCTTTTGGGAAGAGCCTGGTTTAGGAGAGGACATCAGACGTAAGGAACGATGGTGTGAACTTGGGGGTGTTTGTGCCTGCCAGGAGCCATTAGGACCCAGAGCCCCTGGCAGCGGTTACTCGAAATAAATAGAGCCTCCCTGGCGCCTCCGGGGTGTCCCACCAGGACAAGCGGCATCACAAACAAAGCAGATCTGTGCTGTGCGGCTGGTCCTGGGCAGTCCTTGCATTTTGGATTCTAATGTGCGCGCGCACACAGACACACGCACACACACACAAACTACTCCAAGTAAGATCCTGCCTAATCTAACTGGATGATGCTGGGAAGAGATGACCAAACTAGCCACAGCAGGCCTCGATACGCATTCCTACATGCCTTCCTTACGGTCCTCAACTTCCAGCCTCTGATTTATCCCGTGGAGCGAGCGGGAAGGAAGGGAGCCTTTGGGTGGGCCCAGGAGGAACTCCGGCCTTCTCTCGGAGGAAGCCTGGCCTGAAACCTCTCCCCAAAACAGTCTCTGACAAGCCAGGCATTCTGACTGACCAGATGCTGAGCTTGGGCAAATGCATTAATAGCCCACCTGTTGCGAGGGCTTCAGCTTCATGGCAACAGTTTTGTTTGACAATGGAGATTTCCCAGGCATAGCTCAAGAGGATGGCTTTAAATCCTACCTGACTTGACTCCCAGATAGCCTCAGGATGCCCCCTTTGGTACTACCTCCGCTCACCCAGTGCAGTTCACCTAACAAGTGATGTGACTGGCACAACCCCTTCCTTCCTTCCTTCCTTCTCTTTCTCTTCCTTCCTTCCTTCCTTCTCTTTATCTTCCTTCCTTCCTTCCTTCCTTTCTCTTCCTTCCTTCTTTCTCTTCCTTCCTTCCTTCCTTCCTTCCTTCCTTCCTTCCTTCCTTCCTTCCTTCTTTCTTTCTCTTTCTTTTTTTCTTCTCTTTCTTTTTTTCTTCTCTTTCTTTCTTTCTTTTTCTTTCTTTCTTTCTTTCTTTCTTTCTTTCTTTCTTTCTTTCTTTCTTTCTTTCTTTCTTTCTCTTCCTTTCTTCCTTCCTTTCTTTCTCTTCCTTTCTTCTTCCTTTCTTCTTAGGGTGCCTTTAACCGGACTCCTTTGTACCGAGCAGCCTTTGGGGGACACTTGGCAGCAGTGGAGCTGCTTCTCCAGCACGGAGCTGACCCTCGACTCTATGCTGATGATGGCAACACACCGGAGCAGGTATGCCTGCCCCCCTCCTCCCCCTCAGCTGTGGCTGACTGAAGCTACCTTGCAGGAAAAGGCCCCGTTAGCTGTTCCTTGCAAAGGAAGCAGCCTTATGCCAAGCATAAAAAGTAGGAAGCCAAAGCAAAGGGAAAGTGTGGGTGATCGCCTTTAAAGCCCAGCAGGGCCTGGGTTACTTGAGGGACCATCTCACCCCGATGGGACAGGCCTGCCCCACCCCCGTGCCGGCAGAGGAGGTCTGCTGCTGCGGGTCCCATCAGCCAAGGTGTTTGGGCTGGTGGGCTCCAGGAGAAGACCCTTCTCTGCAGTGGCCCTGGCCCTTTGGAACATCTAGCCCCCCTCCACCCGAGTTGAGATCTGCCCCCTCCCACCCTCCTGGCCCCCCTAGAGGCCTGAGGCTCTGCCAGTGGCCCCGGGGCCTCAGGGAGGAAGCACCGCACTGAAGGTGGTTGCTGGAGGAGTAGCGGTGCCCACCTCTCAACGTCTTCGTGTCCCTCCTATCACACCTAGAGCAAGGTGGGCAGAAGCGCTCAGCACGCCACCCACCGCTGGCATGTACCCATCCTCAAATTCCCCGTCTCCAATAAACCTTCCCCCAAGTAATCAGATTTAGTGTTTGCTATGTAATTTGTTCCGCTGACGTGTCCTTTATGTTGGGTCCCCTCTGAAGCGCTGTGTCTGCTGGGGCCTTTTCTTTGGCCCCCCAGCCCCCCTGTGAAGGCCCCGGTCTGTTTCGCGATAGGAGAGCACATTGCTGCTATCCCCCAGGCTTCAGGGTGCCTCGTAGGTTGCTTTTTGCATGCTTGGGTTGGTTTTTATGATTCTCCTTTTATTTTCTTCTTTTGTTTCAATTTCTTTCTTTCTTGGATTTTTTTCTTCTTTTTATTGTTGCATACTGCTTGCATCGACAGCTTATATATATATTTAAATTAAATTTAAAAAACCAAATTTTATATTCCCTGTCAAATACTATTGTTATGATTTTTGAAATATTAATTTTCAAATCTGTAGCCACTCAGAATCGCCTCAGACCATGAGATGGGAGACAAATAAATTTATCAAATTAAATTTAACATAATAATAATATGCTTCATTGCCCCATACTATCTAACATTTATTGCAAACCAGGTAACAGCAAGGCGCTCATTCGAAAACTAAAACAACATGAATTAAAAGCTAGTTTAAAAGCCTGGGGGGGGGGGAAAGGAGGTTTTTTTTTACCTGGGGCCAAAATGATGCTGGCCACCAAGCTCTCTGAGGAGGGAATTTTATACAGGTGGGTCCTTGGGTCGCACTGTTTATTCGGTGCCTCTTTAAAGGGACCACGAGGAGATTTATGGCCATCACAGCCTCAGAATAATCGCAATTGCCAAAGTTTCCCTCAGGCTCCCGAGAGGCGAAGCTGATGGGAAGCTGGGAGTTGCGATCACTTAACAACTGGCACGGCTGCCTCAATTGCCCTCGCTGTGTGAGGCGGTCACATGCTGTCACACTTCAGGAGCACATCACTTAGCAACAGAGTTCAGGGTCCCCATTGCCACCGTAATCGGAGGACTTACCTGTACATGGGGCGGGGGGCACTGTGGAAAAAGAGCCCCCGCTCACTTCCTCATTTCTGCCTCATTCTCAGGTCTCCGCTCCCTCTTTGCTTGCTCCCCACTCAGCCCTTCGGGTTAGGCAGCAGACCCCCCACAGCTCCCCTGCCTGGTTCCTCCAGGACTGCTGAGCGTCTCAGGCACCGCTGCTCTCCTCCCCTCAGAGGAGGGGGCTCCCCCTTGCACTTGCACCCCGTTGCCAGTTCACGCCTTTGGAGAGAGGGTCGAGCGCCATTCTTCCAGCCCTACCTTCACTGGTTCCAGTGATCTGGTCACCACCTCCTCCTCCTCCTCCTCCTCCTCCTCCTCCTCCTCCTTCTTCTTCTTCTTCTGCCATATCCGTTATCAGACGTTGGTGATCATGTTGGCGATCCTGTTTTTATCAGCAGCCGTACGAAAAAGTGCTGTTGAGTTTTGTCCAAACCGGTCCCTGAGATTTTGAACCTTCGTCCAGATCTATTGGTCTTTCCCCGATCTCTTCATTCCAGGCGGTTGTTTTTCATTCATTCCATTCTCTTTGTTAATAATTCATGCTCTTTGCCATTCACTCCTTTTACGCTACAAGGTGCAATTTTGATAGGCCTGCCACGGCTGTCAACAGCCCCCCTGCCCGCCCCTTGGCCAACTTAAAACTTTCACTGAATGCTGTAGATGGGTCTGCCAGCTTAACTGCACCCGTGCCGCCTGCCTCGCGTATCCAGAGCCAAGTGTCGCACCATCTCTCCCTCCCCTGCGCTTACATTTGCTGGGCTCACTTTGTGTTCCGACCCAAGACACGCTGGCAAGGAAGAGGTTATGGCACACTTAACACAGTGCCAAACGACCCACCAAGGGTGCTGGTGAAGCTCTGCCCCAGCCCTCGGCTTTCCCTCAGTCCGAATCGCCCAGTTCCCGGTTCCTAGCCAACCCACGAGGCGGTGAGGGAAGTCACCACACCCAAAGTACCAAGTCCACAACACAAGTCCAGGGTTCCAAAAACCAAAGCAGGATCCAAGAGTCCGAAGTCAGAGAGCCAAGTGCAATATCCACAAATGAAGTCCAAAGTCCACAGCTAAGAAACAAGATCCAAGATTCACAAGGCCCTGTTTACAAAAGCCGGGGAGGTGTGCATCAAAACAAATGGGTGTTTCCAACAGACACACTTTCCTCAGGAGTCTGGTTAAATCACCCTTCCCCAGGTGTGAAGGATGAGAAGGGGCAGGGCTGCTTCCTCATGAGCAGCAGGAGAAGGGAAAGACCAGAACCCTGAGACCCCCCACCCCACGGGACAGGCTGGGGCCAGGGACAACACTGACTGGATCTGGTCAGGGAGGAAGGAGAAGAGCCGCTCCAAAGCAGGGTGCCCCCCCCACTCCTGAGCCCTCGGGAGGATCCCGGAGGATCACCCGGTTGATGGTATCAAAAGCTGCCCAGACATCCAGGAGAGCAAGCGCGCGCGCACACGCGCACACGCACGCACGCACGCATACAAACGCACACACACGAGCCCTTCAAAAGTCATCCACCAGGGCAACAAATGCCATCTTGGTTCTACAACTGAGTCCTAATCACATGCCACCTCCCAGGGAAACCTGGCCAGCCAGGAAGGGCCCTGCGTGCAGTACGCAGGTGGCCAAACTCGTGGAGGAGACAAGGATTCTGCCCACTTCCTCAGGACTGGTCAGCTCAGACTCCTGCAGAAAAGAAGAGGGGTCTAAGCCCCTCAGCAACTCCTTAGGACAGGGGTGTCAAACTGCCGGCCCGCTGAAACTGTGCCCATTGCCAGCAATGGAAAAAAGTCACCATACGTCAAGTGACATTGCGAGTTTGACACCCCTGCCCTAGGACCTGCCGGCCCGTCCGTAGATGCAATAAGAGCAGACCAATACGTCTTCCTGGTCACTGTTGCTGCCACAAGGCAGGTCCCAACCAAGACTCTCACCTGTATTCAGTCAGCTTCACTCCTGCAGTGAGTCCAGGTCTGGTCAGTTGGACCAGGTCCCCGTTTCCCATAGTGGCTATGAACCCCTGACCCTAACCCTTGACTCCAGGCTCAGAGAAGGCAGATGGAAGTCCCCAAGGCAGGGGGGGAGGCTTTCAATGGGCCAAGGACCTGGACTGTATGCACCCCAGATGGGCGAGTGGCTGGGTGTGTGGATGGGAGGCTCCCCGGAGGCTCTGCTTGACAGTGCCAAGCCTTGGGCATAGCAAAGGCCCTCTGCTCCCCAGAGGGAATGGCCCTGGTCGTCCTTAGTAGTCAAGAATACTATTCTTGCTGGTGAGCATCTCAGGCCATGGCCTTCTGCTATTCCTCTCAAGATTGCTTCTCTGGACAGTGTGGTGGCCATCCTGAATGCCTGGGACATCACTCTGACGGACACCATGCTTCAAAAGATGGAGGCTGAACAGCAGCGGAGAGTCCAGCAGAAGCAGAGGCACAAGGAAGCTGAAATGCGCCAGTGAGTCCCTTCCTCCCCTCTCCGTCCCCCTCCCCCCACTGCAGCGCTTGTGAGGGACCGGCATCTGGGGGCTCTTCGGGGATGACCTTGCTGCCCTCATGGAGCAGGTCTGTGTCTCCCATGGCCATCGCCACAGCTGCTGCCCGCAAAGCCCAGGTGTCCCTCCAGAATTGCTCTGCAGTTGGCCTGGTGGAGCAGTGGGGGGTGGTGGTGCTGCAAGCTGGCTGACCACTCTTGGGCCCAAGCAGTGCAAGGATGACGGAAGGGCATCAGGTCCTGGAAGCCCCCCAGGCCAAATCCCTCAGGACCTGAAGAAGCTGTTCTTTAGGTGAGTGTGGCTGGGAGGGGTTTTTAGCCCTGGCCCCTCCCGAGAGCCTCTGTGCCGGTCTTTTTCCGCTTACACACACAGACACAGACACAGACACACACACACACCCCAAGGCCTGATGAAGCAGGGTCTCCCGTCTCTTCTTCCTCCTTCAAATTGGACCTGTTGAACTGCGCTCTGCACACTACAGATGCGAATTGTGTAGGGCTGTCTCTCGCCAAGGAGTGACAGCGCCCCCTGCTCCTAGCTTCAGAAGAGGTGTGTGTATAAGGATGCTGAGGTACAGCGTTCTCCTGGGCCAGGCCTGTGAGATGGTTCCTTGGGGAGGGATGGCCTTGGAACGTTACACCCACCCGCAAAGCACGGCAACCACGCATTAGACAGAGTTGGAAGGGACCTTGGAGGTCTTCTAGTCCAACCCCCTACCCAGGCAGGAAACCCTACACCATTTTAGACAAATGTTTGTCCAATCTCTTCTTAAAAACTACCAGTGATGGAGCACCCACAACTTCTGGAGGCCAGCTGTTCCACTGGTTAATTGTTCTCACTGTTAGGATGTTTCTCCTAGGTTCAATCTCTCCTTGGTTAGTTGAGTTGTGCTGGGCAAGCCTGAAGCTCCCTGGCCCCAGGATGGCTTCCCCCTCGGAGACCTGGCTGCTCACTGAGAACAGGCCAATTGCCCCAGCAGCCTGGAGTCTCCTCCAGCGCCCTCTTCCCCCTCCCCCGCCCCCAAGCGCCATTCAGAGGGGTCTGTGGAAACTCCGTCAGCTCAGGATAAATGGCAGAAGAATCACTGCTCTCTCTCCACTCTCTGTTTCTCCTTCTCTCGTTTGGGCTCTCTTCCCTTCCCTCTCTTTTTAATCAACTATTTCTATATTGTTTTAATGCAGTGTTTTATCTATTGTGCTGCTTTTATTGTGAACAACTTTTGCTGTGTTTGGACATACCAAATGGCACGGAGGTAAACGCAGAGACGGTGTAGACCCTCTTTCTTATAAGGGGGGGGGAGGCGACAGCGTCACTCAAAGAAGCCTTGAGGGAGCCTGGATCTTCAGGACAGGAGGGGTCACAAAGTCCCACTCCAAGGACCTGGCCCTTCGGAGAAGCAGGATGACTCTGTGTGTGTGTGTGTGTGTGTGAAACATGCTCCCCACTAGCGTCTCGAAGGGGCCCCTGACGCCTCTTGGTCCCCACAGGACCACCGAAGCCGTGGAGCAGCTGGCCAAGGAGCACGAGAGATGCAGCAGGGAGGTGAGGTCCAGTGCCGCCTCCGGCCCTGGGAGCCTCTCTGGTCCGCCACCCCGGAGCTCTCCGCACGTAGTTCTTGGCCTGGGGGCTTTGGCCTCCCTGTGGCCTTGTCAGTGACCCCCAGTGGGATGGCTCCGTCCACTTGAACTTTCCCAGGCACACGGCCTCCCTTCTTTGCAGCTGCAGCAGGCCTACGCAGAGCTCAACCGACGGATAACGGAGCACGACAAGTGCCAGCGGAAGCAGATGGGGAACGCAGAGATGACGCTGCACGTGAGCACCGCTCCCCTTCCCGGGTGCCCTCCACGGGCCGTTCAGGGATGCTTGTGTGCTGCCAATTGCCAGGCTGTGGTGCTCTGAGCTCTCTGCCAGGGCACGGTGAGATTCTCCCTGCAGTGTAGGCCAGCTAGGAGCTGGGTGATGGGGTGCCAGGTGGCCAGGTGCCACCCGGCCCATCTGCAGGGGCTGTGAAAGGAGGCCCCCTCAAGAATTCAGAGGAAGTACTGGATTGCTGTGGCTATTTCTCTCTTGGGGGAGGGGGAACGCCTGCAATTGGGGACAGCTGTAAGTAGCTAACAATTAAGTGCCAACCATGGGCAGGGCACCTGGACATCAAATAATATATTACCTGGGCAGCGCCAGGGGAGCTGAGTGAGGCAGAGGGCTCACCCCCGTTTCACTCCTTCGCCAGGCAAGGGAAGGCTCCCTTGGGCCAGGCCCGGCCTTTCTAGCCAGGGGTGTTTCCTGGGACAGGCCATAGCCGATGCGGAAGAGCTGGTGGAGAAGCTGCGCCTGGCTGCTGAGGAGGCCGAGGAGAAGCTGTCCCTGGCCCGCCTGAAGCTGCGAGAGCAAATGCAGGAGGGTCAGTGAGGAGGCAGACGGTGGTTGCAAGGGGCGAGGCCATCCTGCCCGGCTCCTCCAGAGAGGCTCCTGGGCCGGGGGCTCAGCTCCTGCCTTCCCCTAAGGAGCTCCCTGCTGCCCCCAAGCCAGGACCCTTTTTGAGCACAAGTGACTTTGCCCCAAACAAGAAAGAGGGGCTCGTCCTTGCCCTGGCCCAGTTGGGAAGGGAGAGGAGGAGGAAGACGCCTCTTTGAGGAAGCGGATCCAGCATCCTGCCAGGTGCGGCTGGACACCACAAAGACAGCCGCTCAGCTTTTGCAACCCGAGCAGGCACTGGGGAGCGGGCCCCGAGGAAGAGGGCGCTGCTGCGCTGCCGGGCTTTCCTCGTGGTGTGGAAGGCAACTGCCGGTCAGCCCCTTACCTGTCTGTTCTGCCTTGGCAGGTTCGCCTTCCGAGATTCCGGGCCTCACGTGCTTTGTGCAGGAGCTGGACGATGTGCTGATGAAAGACGTGGGTGGGAAAATGCAGGCCGATGGGCGGTGAGTGGCGGGAGGGCCCCTCCCCAGCAGCCCTCCCCAGGAAGCCGCCTGGGCTCCAGCGGGAGATGGTTGGCCCCAGCCCCGAGCTCTCTCCTTCTCTCCGGACAGCTGGCCCCTGGTCATCGACCCCTCTGGGCAGGCAGCCATTTTCCTGCGCTACCGTGACACCAACTATCTGAACACTGCCAATCCTGCCGACATGGCCGTGGAAGCCATTCGCCTGGCCTTGCTGGGGTCTCTCCGGTAGGGCTCGGCCAGAGAGGAGGAGGCCCCTTCCCTCTAAAGGAGCACCGATTCAGGTGCGGTGTGGGAGGGGCGGCAGGTGTGCCAGAAACAATGACGCAGGTGGGCAGGGGAAGCCGGGTTCTGGCGAGGAGCACCACAGGGGCCTCCCGGCTGGTGACGTCCACGGGGGAACAACTCTCTCCCCCTCGCTTTCTCTCCTCCACCCCCCGGGCTCTGTTCCACCCATGGCCAGCTATGGAAAGCCCCTGGTCTTTGATATGATGGAACTGGACATGTTTGACACGGTGAAAAAGCAGTTGGAACGGCTAGAGACAGGCCTCACTCAGGCACTGCTGAGCAAGAAAATCCTTGGGAATGAAAGGTGAGCCCTTTAACGATGCGCCAGCAGCCGAGGGTAACTTCTGAGGGGCCAGAGCCCTCTCGGGTGCCCACAGAGAACCCAAGAATGGGGCGGCTGGAGGTCATCTGAAGGAAAGGCAGCAGGGCCACGCGCCAGCCATGGGATACAGAAAACAGACCTTGAGGTTCTGGGATGAGGCGCAGGGTCCTCCCAGCCGCCGCCGTGGCCGCCATGGCCGTTTCCTGGGTCTCCATCGGTGGACGCTGGTCTGAGGCTTCCTGGCCCCGATAGGAGCTGAGGCTGTCCTGAGAGAGGCCGAGATGCAATTCCTGTGGGCTGTGTGGATCTGGCCATTTCCAAAAAGGGAGCCCGTGGCCCTCGGAAGAGCGTCAGAGACAAATCCAACCATCCCCACCGATCACACTTCAAGTAAAACCATTTGGCCCAGTAAGCCCAGGGAGGGGCTCCGTGGTGGCTGCATTCATACAACCCAGTCAGCAGCAGATAAGTGTCTTAAGGATTAACCAAAGAATCAGACCACTTACTGGATTTACGTCACAGGGGAACCAGCTGGGCTGAGTTGGCATTACATGGTACGGAACAGAAAATTCGAACCAAGGTCAGCTCTAACCCAGCTTAGTGTGTTGTAAGAAGGCAGCCCCAGGTCTTCCCTGTTTAAAGCGTTGTTGTGAGCAGAGGGCTCTCCCATGCAGGTCAGCTGCAAGTGCTTTTCTCCTGGGGGATCTTTTCGATCTCCCCCCCCAATAGCTTTCCTTTCTTTGGAATCTTCCCAGCTCTGTACTGCTGTGACTCCTCCCCCACCCCCCAGCTGGGTTCGCACGAGGCACTTCTGGACCCCTAACCCCAACTCCCTGGCAGAGAGGTGGGAGGGTTAGCGTCCCACCAGCCTTGGAGTTCCTCTGCCCCCAGCGTCCCACCGCATCCCTTGAGGCTTTGGCCGACAGGCTGACCCCTCGCCACCCCAATGGATGAAGGAGAGCACCCCGCTTGCGTTCTGCCATCCTCACCCACAGCCACACTCGGAAAGACAGGTGGTCCCAAGGGAGGGGCTGTTTGATTGCTCTGCCTCACCCCCACCTGCAGAACGGGGCATTGCCCACCTGAGAGGGCAACGCGAGTTGCTAGCCAGGCCCTCCCCTGGGCACCGTCTTGTTCTCAGCCGGTGGCCCCACTCTGCCCAGAATGGCCGGGCCGTTGGATCCCTTCTCCTCCGTCTTGGGCAGATATCGCTCCCTACTGAGGCCAACAGATGGACCAGAATATGCAGAGACTGAGTTTCAAGTTGCTCGGATCGAGAAGTTCAGGCTCTTTGTGGTCACCAAGCGCCACCACCCCCCTGAAGACCTGCTGCAGACCCTCCTCCCCATCCAAGTCCTCCTGTCCGGGGCCAGGCGGTAGGCACAGCCTGGCAGTGCCCAGTTCAACAGCACCCTGAGGGGTGCGTGCTTATCTTGCAGTGACCCACAGCAGGGAGGCAGGCAGGAGGGTGGCTGGATGGGCAGTGCCCAGCAGCCGATGAGGCTTCCCGACTACCCTCGGCTCTTTTTCAGAAAGCCGGGCTTCAGAAGACCACCCCCCTTCCCCAAGTGGCTCCTGCCAGCCCCGTGCGCTGACTGGGAGGGAGGAGCCCAGACGGCCTTCCTGTTACCTTGGCAGACCACAAAGAAGCCGTGAGCACCAATAAAGAATTGTTCCTTTGGAAAGTCTCAAGATGGCCTCTTCTGAGCTTTTCTCCTCAGCCCCCCACTTCTGCAAGTTCCCCTCCAGGAAGGTCCCTGTGCCACCCCATGCCTGGATGATGGCAGCTTCTCCAGGCCTCTGCCCGCCTGCCGCTCCCCTTATCCGAGTCATTCCATTCCGGGCCCCTTAACAAAGGACGACTCCTGTCTTTGGGTCCAATGGGATGGCCAAAGAGAAGCCTATCACGGCTTAAGCCGGTGGCCCAATTTGATAAAACTTGGTAAGGCAACAGGTGGCCTAATTTAGCCCTCGTCCTTGGGACAGACTAAGGGGGGGGAAAATGTGGAACGTGGCTCTGGGCAAGGCTAGAATGCATATGACGGGATGGGGGTGGGGGAGAGGAAGCCCCCCCCCAGTGTCTGGCTGAAGCCAAGGGAAAGAAAAAAGGTCCGTCACACATTTTACCAAGTAACCGCAGACTTCAGTTTCCACCGGCCGAAAGGACAGGAGCCTGTGCCAGTAAGCGCCCGGCCCCTCCTCCGCCTTCTCCTTAAGGACCCGGGGCTGAAGGGGCAGCCAGAATGACCACCTCGCCCATCCATGTGCAGATGACAGAAAACCCCTCAAGCCGGCTAACCCCCCCCAGAGGCAAAACAGTCACAACCATTTCTCAGGTCAGAGAGACGGACACCACGGTGTGCGCACACACACGTGCTTATGCGCAGCTGCGGGACAGCCGGTATCTGTCTTGGGAACTTCCAAATAAGCAGCACTGATGGCCAACCGGGCACCAGTAACGAGGCTCGTCCTTTGGGGCTGCGTCCGAACCCCAGGAAGTGGCCAGGCCACCCTCCCCTGCAGGAGGCCCGGAAGAGAAGCAGCTTAAGGGGGATGGCAGGACTGGAAATTGTATCTTCCAAACAGAGACAGGGCCACTTGCTAGGCTTAGCTTGGAGGACCGACGGGAAAAATATTAAGGTTCTTAGTACCTGGAGGGAAGTCCCAGAGGACCAGGCTGTGAGATACGCCACGGGACGGGCAGGTCTCTGGAGCGGTTTCCTTTGGATCCTGCTGCAAGTCTCCCGAGGCCTTATTTTATTGATTTTTTAACTTATTTGTATCCTGCCTTTAATGTTTTTTACAAATAACCCAAGGAACACATCTAACAGCCCCCTCCTCTTTTCCCCACAACAACAACCCTGTGGGGTGGGCCAAGAGAGAGGGACTGGCCCAAGGTCAGCCGGTCAGTCTTTATGGCTAAGCTGGGATTAGAACTCACCGTCGTCTCCTGCTTTCTAGCCTGGTGCCTTAACCACTAGCCCGACGTGGCCTTTCGGCTGGCTGGGACGGGAGGAAGCGGTCAGTACTGGCCAGCATTCCTGCCCCACGTGATGCTCTGAGGAAGAAGGGCAGGCCAAGAGCAAAGAGGACGGAGTCACTCCAGGTGCTCCTCCCAGAGGCCCACAGGGGAGGAAGCGGAAGCGGGGGAGGGGTCCCCCCTCCGTCAGGGTCTCCGCCCACAGAGGGATCAATGACAAGCCCTCCTCACCTGTTCTACATCTGCCCACACCGGGCCCTTAAGCCCCCTCCCACAGCGTTTCTGCCCCCTGGCTACCCCTCCACTGCTTTGGGTCTCATTCCTTTTGGGGGTTACCTTAAAGCAGCCCAGATGCTCTTCACCATCCCTCCTGGAAGGCAGTCCCCCTCCAGTTGGCCTCATTTGGGGAGGGGGATGCTGCTAATCTTGCAGAGGGAGGGAGGGAGGGAGAGCAGCCCTGGGGGCCGGCTAGGTCAAGGAAGGATCCAGGGCTCTAAAAGGTAAAGTAAACTTTATTGTCATTGAACCACAAAATAGACTTCTTTGGTTGTACAAATGTCACTAGTTACAGTCTTGATCTCCCCCCCGGGGGGGGGGGGAGGAGAGATGGATCACAGCCCAGCACCTATAAGTTAGTTAGCCACAGAAACCCTGCCTGATCACTCCCCAGCTGCTCATTAAAAGCAAATGCTAAAATTAGTTTAAAAACAAGAAGCTCTAACGGGGGACCTCGGAGGAGAAGCCGCCTTCGTAGCTGGAGAAAAAGACACAGCGCCCCCCCCTCGCTACCTTCCCAAAACCGAGCGTGGGCAGTCCTGTTAAAACGAGCCTCCCTAGAGAGATGGCCTGTGGGCGCCTGGCAGCCTCCCCGGTGGGCGCCAGCATTGCCCCTTGCCCCCCCTTCCCAGATGGCCCCCGCAGCTCCACCAGCCAGGCCGCGAACCACTGACTGGGCTGGTGGGGGCCACAGTCGCAATCCTGGGACTCCCTTGGAAGCCCCCCATCCCCCCCATTATTCCAACCCCCAAGCTCTGCTTTGCCACGCCTAATGCCACTAGCCCGCCCCACTCGGCTTCACCCTTCTCTACTCTGCCTGGCAGGGCAGCGCCCAAACGTTGCCCCACCTCACCAGCAGGTGCTGCTGGGGCCCCAAGGGAAGGTGGGGGATAGGCACGGGGGCCCCACCGCTGGTTGGCCACGCCCGGCAGGTCTGTGGCGACCACGGCTGATGCCAAATGGAAACAGTTTCGTGGCCGTCCTCCACCCACCCGCTATTTACAGACCCCACATCCCATCGGTTCCCCTCACCCCCAATGCTCCACCTCCGATTTGTCACAACCTGCCCCAGTGCATTGCAAGCAGGTCCACAGCCCCACGGTCCATCAAGGGGGCCAGCGGCCTCACACCCCACTCCATCATCCCCTTGGCCTGGCTGTGTCCGTACAGTCTCCAAGGACTGGCGTGTTATGTCGGGACCGCGGCTTCTAAGCTGTGTTGGGCCTGCTGGAGGTTGCGCTCGTCACCAAACAGCCCCAGCTCCTGGCCCGCAGAGGGGCCGTGGGTCATCAAGGGCTCCGGGGTCCCACCGTGCTCCTGGCGCCCTGAGGGGAGGAAAGAGAAGTCAACCTGCTCTTCAGCCAGGCACCTTCTGGGAACGTGGTCCTCTCTCCACAGGCGGAGCGCGAAAGGCAGGAGGACCCTGCAGGAGCCCCCCCCTCTCGCCGGGACCAGGACCTGCAGGCTGAGGAGGAGGGGGAACAGCAGGGGGGGGGGGCTGAGCCGCCAGACCTGACGTCGGGAAGCTGGCTGAGCATGGCCTGGGGTGTGGTGGTCCTATCCCCTTGCGCAACGGCCCAGCCACGCGTCCCCCCTTCTTGCTCTGAGAGACAAAGCGGTCGTGGGCTGCAGAGAGGCCGCCCATCCACCCACCTGAGCTGCTGTCGAGGCTGCCAAAGCGCTTGCAGGACTCTCGCCCATCCGGAGTCTGCAAGAACAGAGGAGGGTGAGGCCCCCGCCTGCCTCCCCCTTGCTGGGGGCGGCCAGAGAAGGGGGCACTCAAGGAGGAAAGAGCAGGAATCAGGGGAAGGCGCGTGCTGGCCGCAGGGATGGAGGGGTGGGACGAGGGTCGGGGGGGCTCTTTTAAAGAGGCTGCTGGAGACTCAGGTTAGGGTCCTGCACCCGAGGGCCGAGAAGCCCTGGCCAGACCACGATACGCGTGTCTCCCCCCCAACCGCCACCTGCCATCATGGGGCTCGGCTGAGTGGCACGGAGGAGAGAAAGGGGGGAGAGAGAGAGAGAGAGAGAAAGGAAAAAGAACGGAAAGGGCCGGCAGGAGGAAAGGAAACGGAGCTCCTTCCACGCTCTCAGGAAGCAGCCGTGCCCCCCCCCCAGCCCTCCTCCTCCTCCTCCTCCTGAGGAGCCTTACTCAGCCCACCCACAACTTGGGGCACTTCCTCCCATCCAGGGCCCGCGTGCCATCCAGCCCCCCCTCGAATCAGCAGGGAGGAAAGGGGCCGGCATCACTGGCGCTCCATTCGGCATCTGTTGGGGGGGGTCAGAGTGGGGCCTGTCTAGTGCAGTGGGTAAGGAGCTGAGTTCGAGTCCTGCCCGGGGCTCCAAGCCAGCTGGGGGACGGCCACTTCCTTAGGGGCTGCCGAGAGAAAGTGGCAGGACTGGCCCAGGTAGCAGCCAGGAGTCAATGCTGACTCAAAGTCTCTCTCTCTCTCTCTCCTGCTGCCCCCACACCTGCACCAGGCTCCCCTCTCTGCTCTTGGCTGGCCTGGCTGAATCTGCCCCCTCAGGAGGAGGCGGGGAGGAAACCTGGACCCAGCCCAGGGGATTTCAGCAGCTCTGCCTCCCGCCTCCCCCCCCACTTCCCCCCCCCCAGAGGAGCTGACTTCCTTGGAGGGCCAGTGAGCCCCAGTCTAGAGCCCACCTACTTGCACCCTGGGGGGGGGCTCACCCACAGGCCTTGGAGCTGAACGGAGCTCACGGTCTGTGCAGGGACCCCGAGGGAAGAAGGGGGCCTTGCTGGACTATCCCCCCCGGGGGCCCTGCGCCCAGGGGGCCCTGTCCAGCCCCATTCACCCCCTTAGGAAGAGCCAGGGAGGTGGGAGAAAGGCAGGGGAGGGGGTGCAGCCAAGCTCCTCCCCTGGGAGAAAAGGCCGGGAAGGAAATGGTCGGGGAGAGGGGTCAAGGGCCACCTGGCCTGGGGAGAGCGGGGGGGGGCAGCCCCAGGGCGATGGGCAGACCAAAGCGCCTCCTTAAACCCTGGGGTCTTTTGACACAGGGGGAGGGGGGGCCCTTAATAAACGTGCAGAGGGAAAAGGGCCTCTCTGGGCTCTGGGCTACATTTTGGGGGGGGCTCAAACCTCCAGCTGCAGAGAGGGAGCACCCCCTGCTGCCAAGCACCCCAGAGGCCCCAGGTGGGTGGCCTGAGAAGCCAAGGAGGGCTTCGGCGCCCCCACTGGGCAGGGGGGAGCTTCCTGACCACGTCCCGCTCCGTGGAAATTGTACCTGGAGGTCATATACAGGTTTGGAAGAAGGAATGGCCGCAAATTCCCTGTAGAGGAACCTCTTTTCAGGCAGAGACTGGAAGGGCCAGCAGGGGGGGGGGGCAGAGGGGGGCAGAGGGAAGCAGAGACAGAGAGAGAGAGAGAGAAAACAAGAGTGACCAGTGCCCGGGGAGGCAGGTTATGCCTCACTTGCTCCAGGGAGAGGAGAGAGGGGCTCCTCTAGCTGCCTTGGGGCTGGGCCCCTGGGAGCCCCCCCCAGACCCCAGAGCGCCTTTCTCCTGTCCCAGGTGCCCTCCTGGCAGGGGGCGAAGGAAGCCACCGCCGCCTGGCTGCAGAACGGATTTCCTGGGCTGGGGGGGGCGGGGGGGGCGGGGGGCCAGCAGGGCAGGCTGTAGCGCAGGAGAGCTAAAGGCCAGGAGTCCTTTCCGGACGGGGCCCCCAGAGTGCCCGTGCCACGCAGTGCCTGGCACCCCTCCCAGGAGCAGCCTCTCTGCTGCGCAGGCGTCTCCTACCAGCCGGCCTGGCGTAACTGCGACCCGGGAAGCGCCGTCTGCAAAAGAGGGTCGGGCAGAGGAGCTTCAGAGACAATTGCCGCCACCTCCCCCCTCCCCCCCGCAGTGCCAACGTCCGTCAAAAGAGAAGACGCACCCTCCAAGGGCGTGGGGGAGGGCGTGGGGGCCGGGGACGGCGACTCTGCCAGCTGCTCCAGCGTGCCCCGCTTCTTGTTCTCCCTGGACCTGGCAATCACCATCTGGGCCTTGAGGGCATCCTGCTCCAGGGACTTCATTCTGCCGCAGGGAAAAAGAGCCGTCGGGGGTGCTGTGGGTCCTGCCCGGGAAGCCCCCCCCGGGGCACTCCAGTTGCTTCCCCCCCCAACACCTACCGTGCTGCTCGCCACATGGCCCGCTTCTCCGCTTCCAGGGCTCGGCGCTCCGCCGGGGAGAGCTCCTTCTCCGGGGCGGCCAGCAGCTCCGGGCTCTGCACCCGCAGGCGCTCCTGGTGCCGCCGTTCGGCTTTGGCTGTCCGGACCGGCACCCCCGGCTCCCCCCCTCTGGCGCAGACGGGACTCATCCTGTCAGAGGGAGGCTGAGGCTCAGCCCGCAAACCTCCTCCGCTCCCTCCTTCCCTCCCACCTGCTTGCTCAACCGGAGGAGGCAGGGCTGAGCCCTCCTCCTCCTCCTCCTCCTCGGGGGCCGTTGGGTGTGTTGGGGTCCAGGAGCCTGGAAGGCGCAAAGGAGGGCTGGCCACAGGCAGGGTCCTCCCAGAGGTCTTCTGGACAACACCCCAATGGCACCACAAGCCCAGAAAAGGTTTCCAGGATGCCCCCTACCCCAGAAAGAGGCAGGGAAGGGGGACGGACCCCAGGAGCCAGCACTGGGCCGGGCAGACCTCTCGGGGCCGGTACCGCGGCTCTCCCTGCCAGGGCAGTCTGGAAGAAGGGTGGCGCCCCTCCCACCCGGCCCCAGAGGGAAAGGGGGAGGGCTGTCTTGGCAAGAGAGAGGCCCGGCCCTGCTGCGGGGGTCACCTCTGGGCCAGACCCACCCTGTAGGGCTGGCACCTCACGCCTCGGAGGCAACGGCTGGGAAGGGAGCTCACCAAGCGGTGGGGGAGAGATTGTTCCCGTTCTGCTTCTCGACTCTGTACTCAACGCCTTCGATGAAGATGCTGGAGGGGCCGCCCATGCCTGGGGGGCGCTGGCCGTGTGCCACCTCCCCCTCCTCATCTTCCTCCTCCTCCTCCTCCTCCTCCAGCAACTGGGCTCGCTTCTGTTGGAGTTTCCGAGCTGCTGAGAAAGAGATGGGGGGGTGTCAAAATAGGGACCCCCCTCCTCACAGCCTCCTCCTTGGAATAGGAGGTCCCCTGAATGTTACCCAACAAGCAGCTGGACGGGACAGGGACTGAGGCTGCCACATGTGCAGGAAGGGACTTGAGAGGGCAGCCGAATGAACACACCACACAATCGCAAGGGAGAAGCACCCCAGATGAAACGGGGGCCGCTGGGCTTGTCCTCTGCCTGCCCCTCCAGAGCAGCTCCCAAAAGGCCGGCTGCAGAGGCCAGCCCCGAGCCCAGCCCCAGATCAGTGCCCCCCCCCGCTGCTGGTCCAGTGAGGTCAGCAACCGAGACCTGCTTTCCCCCAGGGACTCCGGGGGGTGGGTGGGAAAAAACAGCCAGATGGGCATGGAAGCAGTTGGCGCGCAGCCCCTCAGCCCGAAGGAGTGGGCAAGGGAGGGGCTCACCTCGGCCAGAAGGACTCCACCCCTGCCCCCCCCGCCCACAGGCCCCACCTTCCTCCTCCTTCATTTTCTTCAGGTCTTCCTCCCCGACCAGGGAGACTCGCTTCAGGGGCTTCTCGGCAGGCGGTGGCTGCTGCTTCAGCTCCAGCTCAAAGTACTTCTGTCTCTCGCGGAAGGTCCGCTGCTCCGGGCTGTGCGGGCCGCCCGGCCACGGGGTCTGTGGGGCAGGGGCACGAGGACGCGTGGGGTCAGCTGGGCTCAGGCGCCCTGCCCTGACGCCGCTCCCACTGCCTGTGCGCCTTACCTCGGAAGAGATGGGCAGTGCCTGCTCAAGGCTCCTCTGTCCCGGCAGCTCCTGGGGGGGGAGGGAAGGGGCAGGACACGGTGTGAGCACGGCACAGGCCAGGGCCACAGACCCCCCCCAGGCCCAGCCCACCTCACCTCCAGCTCCAAGGGCAGCTGCAATCCCGGGAGGGCGGCCAAGGCCCTGTAGGCCTGCTTGGCACTGACAGGGAGGTCCTCCCTCGGCGAGAGGGGTCTGGACTGCCAAGGCTGTGGGGAGAGTCAGAGGGAGGCAACTGACTGGCCGTGGGGGGCACCAAGGCTCGGGGAGCCTCCGCCAGAGACTGCCCGGGCTCTGCTGGCACTCCCGCGGTCCCTGCGCCCTGCCTCTCCCGGTGGACGGGGGCCTCTGAGACAGCAGGGGGGAAGGCAGGCAGGGCAAGGAGGGGGGCGTCTCCCGGGGACTCACCAGACCATTGGGGCCAGAGGTCAGCTCAGGCTGCTGGAAAGGGCTGGGATTGTCTGGGCCCTCCGCGGGGCTCGGGGCTGAGGTCAGGCGCAGGCGAGAGACTGGCTGAATTCTCCCGGGCTTGGTCTGCATGCACACCAGAGAGAGGAGCGGGTCAAAGAGCTGCCTGGAGCAGGCCACGGCCGGGAGCAGCTCAGGCCAAGCGGAGGCAGAGGCAGGGGGAGCACCGCAGGGGAGCACCGCGAGCCGATCCAGGAAACGGACGGGCCTCCATCCAACAGCCCTTCCGGCCTCCAGATTTCAGGGCTCACCCCCCAGACTGGCTGCTCAGGCTCTGTCTGGGAGGCCCCTTCCCCCCCCCCCCCGGTGTTGCACCTTGACCACCTGAGGTCGTAAAGGAGGGGGGCTGCCTCCCCCCCCCAAGCAGGACAGAGAAGCTGGGGGAGAGGCAGAGGGCACCAACTGAAGGGCACTTACAAAACGTGTCTCTTTGCCCACCAGGCAGAAAGGCCGGGACGGGGCCGAGCACTAGAGAATGACCAGGCCAGAGAAAGAAGCAGAGAGAGAGAGAGAGAGAGAGAGACTGACCGGCTGCAGGAGCAGCCGGCACAGACTGGGCCTCTCCCCAGAGCCTCCCTACCTGTTGGCTGCTGGGAGGCTCTTGCCGGCCGGACTCGGCTTCCCCCACTGCCAGACCCTGCAAGAGAGGGAGGAGGCGGCCATCAGGGTGGGCACAGCTCCCTGAACCCTTTGCCAAGGGAAGTCCCGGCTGCACGTTCTCCATGCAAACATCCAAGAATTTTTATTTATTTGCTTATTAAAATTATACACTGCCCTTCTCACTACGCAAAGCCACTTTCAGATCCCATCAGGCAGGGAGAAGAGCATGCTCTCAATCTCCTCAGCTAAGGGACGCCAAGAAGGTGGGGGCCTTTTCTGCCCCAGACAACGGTCCTCCCCACCACCCCACCACCCCGGGCTGGTTTTTCGTGCATCCTTAAAGGCCCCGAGTGTGTGCAGGCAGCCATTCCCTGCTTAATCTAGCAATTACAATGGGTGCTTTTTCTCAGCTGCTTTGTATTTTAATTTCTGTACTGCTGAAATTGATTTATTTTTAAAATGTTATTCACTGCCCAAAGTTATCTGGAGAGATAGACAGTCATGCAAATTGAACAATCAAGCATAAGTAAGTAAATTTAATTGGATGGACACGTGGCAACCATTGGCCCGCCCGTCCTGTCCCATCCTGTCCACAGGGCACTTGCTCAAGGCTGGATTATTTCCTGGCGCCCAGGTGGGGGCTGAACCTAGTCGATGAGCGTAGTAACACTGGCTCACCCTGCCCTCTCGGAGGCTGCTGATCGGGGCAAAAGAAAGATCCCCGTTGACCCAGATCCGCCCAGAGTTCTCACTCGGGGCACGGAGGGCCAGCGCCAGGCGGCCCCCCCTTTGGGCCCCAGAGGCAGGGGGAGGCAGCGGCAGCCACGGGGGGGCGGGGGGCAGCGCTAAGACCAGCCCCCTGCGCTGTGGGAATGGGCCCTGAAGAAGAAGAAGAAGAAGAAGCCGGGGGGTGGGGAGGAGACGCCTGAGGCAGCCAGGAAAAGAAGCCGACTGACCGGGGGTTTTCAATCCAGCACAAACAACCAGGATGGAATGAGCTTATTTCAGACCCAGGATGGAAAAGACGGCTGGGAAAGAGGGAAGGAAAGGAAGAGGGGATGACCAGC